GCAATCTACTTCAGTAGTGATACTGCCTCGGAAACCCAAGGAGGGGTCGGTGAGTTGGGTCCGACTTGATGGCACATAACAACAACAACAACGTGACCACAGTCAGGAGGCGGTAGCAGCAGGTTTGCAACACCCAAGAATTTCCCAGGCGTGCATACTCACAGCAACCATGTACCCTAGTTTAATGCTCAGCCAAGTCTGTGCCCGTCCATGCATCTTCTGTGTCTAATACATGACCCTTTCCCAAACTCTTCCTGATGCTTTCCTCTAATAGGCATTTAAGTCAACCACGTGTTATTCCACCTCCACTAACTACTCATCCCCGCGGTGCTTCTCACATCCTTGTGAGGAAGGGAGGCAGTGGCGGTTCAGGGGTAGAATTCTTACCTTCCACACAGGAGGTTCAATTCCTGGCCAGTGCACTTTGGGCATAGCCAGCACTCATCTGCCATTGGAGGCTGGCATGTTGCTATGATGCTGACCAGCTTTTAGCAGAGCCTCCAGACTAGGATGGCCTAGGAAGGAAATTCTGCAATCTGCTGAAAAGCAGCCAGCGAGTACCTTCGGGATCGCAGTGGTCTGATCCTGTTGGGCACGGGGTTGCCATGAATTGTGGGCCAACTTGACGGCAACTAACAACAGCAGTAGCCATGAAGACTCAGGGATGTAGTGAGCACAGAGGTCCAGTCTCGGGCGGACGTCCCGCTCCAGTCGGGCAACTGCTCCTCTGCCCTTGTCCCGTTTCACTTTGTCATCTGAAGACTGAAGATTCTGTAGTCTCCTCCTCCCTCCTTTGGACTATTCCCCAGCCACAGTGACTCTCAATGTATCGTCTATCTAAATCAGCAAATGTTATCCAGTCAGGAAGGAAGAGCTAAGTTAGCATCGTTAAGAACATGTGGCATTTCCCTCTGAGGTGATGCCACATTCACCATTTTTTTTTTTAATTTTGTTTATTTATTTTGTTGTTGTTGAGAATATTTTCACATACAAAGTACACCAACTCAGTGCATACTCAGTACCCTAGTTTATTACTTGTATTGTGTATTACTCGTGACAGTGATGACGCTCTTCGAGTTGTGCAACCTTCTCACCCTCATTTTCTGAGTTGTTCCTCTCCCATTAACATAAACTCACTGCCCCTAAGATTTCTATCTGATCTTTCAAGTTGATGTTGTCACTTTGATCCCATATGACCAAACCCACTGCTGTCAAGTCAGTTCTGACCCACAGCAACCATGTAGGACAGAGTAGAACTGCCCCAGAAGTTTGCCAAAGCTGTAAATCTTCATGGAAGCAGACTGCCACGTCTTTTTCCTGCAGAGGTTCTGATAGGTTTGAACCACCAACCTTTTGGTTAGCTTCCAAGTTCTTAACTACTGTGCAACTAGGGCACCTTGATCCCCTATGGACAGTTCTTAAAAGAGCAGAAGACTTCAGGGGGAGTTTTAGATTTAAAGTTTAAAGATTCTTTCAGGACAGTAGTTTCAGGGGTGTCTTCTTTATGATATACATTTTAAATACTTGTAGGACTTAAGCCGCTTAGTGTGGATTGTAAAGAATTTTCTGCCCTTCAGAGAAAGGGCTTTTCAGGAGAATCTGAACACCCTTTCTAAGGTATTTAGGTTACTAGAGTATCTCTGAGATTATTCCAGTCAAGCCTTCGTGACTTACTGAATGGTGTACCAAAAAGGTGCTGTTTAAATACATCCCACTGCTTTGTAAGAGTATTGACGTATCTTTAAAAAGTTTCTGGTAACTCAGAGTCAGCCTAGTGCAACTGGTAATTTCATTGTACCGGAAGTAAGTGGTGCATGATTCTGCAACATGATTTCATGCTATCTCTGTTGTTACTATGATTGTTAATATTTTACCATGATAAAATTTTACCACTTACATTTTTTAATAAAGTACGACACAGTGGCAGGTCATAAGAAAAGAAATGAGGTAGAATTTTTACATAATGTCAAGAATTTTAGATTCAAGAAATGCGTAGAGGTAGAGAATCTTGTTTTGTGTAAGCATAGTTAATATCCTCATGCATTTGCTGCAAGATTTACTCAAAGAACTTTTAGTTCTGGTTTTGTATTTACATTGAAAAGGTGTGTGTAAAGTCGAACACTTTCCTAAATCCTCAAAAGCAGTCATTTAAAAAATTAATCCCTGCTTCTTATTAATTCCTTAATTTTATTATTAACGATCTAGGAATTCCGCTTATAATTCCAAATTATGATTTTGTGCTTCCCTCATAAGCGCTGGTCAAGATATCCAGGGAACAAGTGTGATTGCAAATCTTCCGTATTTGATGAGACAGAATCCCGCCGAGACGCTTCGGAGAGTTTTGCCGAAAGTCAGAGTAAGTTGATGTGAAGTAAGATTTCTTTTCCAGTTTTCCTCCTGTCGTGTTTTGTCCTCGTGGGGAGAAAACATTTTGAGCTTTTACTGCTGGTCTCTTGTCCTTAATAGCTGAGTGGAGGAAGGATTAATATATGTACATTTTGAATTATGATGAAAATGTTTAGAGGAAGTAGCTGATAGGATCTTACGGTGTGAAGATTTCCTTAGTCTTTTTAATAACATTAGTCTTTCATAGTTTAGAATAATCTTCCTTTTCTTAAAAAATCACAGCTATTTTATTTGGCATCCTATTGACTCACATCTGTATTAATAATATTTCCACAATATCTATTGTATAATTTAACTGATGCTTCTAGTGAGGATCCTGTGTGACTTCTGAAGAATAAACAAATTAAGATTAAATTATAGTCGTCACAATTTTAATTTTATTTTCTTAAATTTTTTGAAAATTATTTCTCTTGCTAGGAACAAAAATGTTTGAATTACTTGAACCTTTCATCTGCTGACTAGTTCATAGATGTTTATTGGGCCTCCTGTATGCAAAGTGCTGTTGTATATAAGAACTTGAATGGACAAAACAGTGTGTGGTTCAGGGAGCTCCTTTACTGTTGGGTTAGTCATTTACATGCTGATGGGGACTGTGTATACAAGCTGTGAATCTTGTGTACTTAGCTTTGGCTTTCTATTGGTTATATTTTTTCCCCTTAACTTGTAAATGTTTAATATACTGTAATTATTAATGTGTTCCTGGGGTTATGTTCTATATTTAGGTGTCATTAGCATGGTTCTAGGAGCCCTGGTGGTACAATGGTTAAAGCACTCGGCTGCTAACTAAAAGGTCAGTGGTTCGAACCCACCAGCTGTTCCATGGGAGAAAGATGTTGCAATCTGCTTCTGTAAAGATTTACAGCCTTGGAAACCCTATAGAACTGTTCTACTCAGTTCTGTAGGGTTGCTATGAGTCAGAATCAACTCCATAGCAACAGACTTTATTTATTTTTTTTAAACTGTGCTTTGGAAGGCCAAGGAGTACCTCTTTGAGGAGGTGACTTTCAAGCTGAAAACCCAAGGGATAAGAGGAAGCAGCCATTTCAGGACTTGGGGAATGAGTGGTCCAGGCAAAGCAACTGATAGTCCTAAAGTGAGAAGAGCTTGGTGAATGACATGGTTAAAGATGTGGCCATGGGCCGGAACATGCAGGAGTTTGGTCTTCATCCTCAGGATAGTGGAAAGCCATTGAGGCTTGTAAGGAGCCATTGATATGATCCTGTTACCATTTTTCAAAGATCATTTTGATTATTATGGGTTGGAGTATGGCAATTAGAAAGTTAAAGCATGAGGGATAGTGGCTTGGATTAGGACAGCAAATCAGGACAGTAGAGAGCAGTGGACGTATCTGAGATGATTCTTCTGCGATAGAATTGCCAGAACTTCACTGTGGATTGGCTGTGGGGTGGGGGAGAGAGAGCGTCAGGAGTGCTCCCAGATTGCTGCCTTGAGCACCCATGTGGTTCTGCTGGTTTTCAACATCTTTATAAAGTCCATGCAACCCATGGGGAAAAGCAATTTGAGTACTTTGTAATAGTAAATGTTGATAAATGATTTACTCCTAGATAGTTTAACGATATAAACATAAATTAATCATTCCCAAGATTCTACCACATTCACAACAATAGGGAAAGAGGCTTTAGAACTCACCCTCTGCCTCGTCTTTACCTTAAAGGACTTCTGAGTCAAGTGATATTGAAGACTTCTCTGGGCTCACCAATTATAAGATTTTTCTTTTTATTCATTTCATCCTATTTTGCTGAAAATAGCTTTAAAATAGGTTGTTCTTTTCACTGTTTGATAGATGAAGGAATTTAAAGTTAAACATAAAAATAGCAAAAAGAGAGTTAGCATTAGAACTGAGCTGGTCCATAATATTTCTACCATTTGCTTTCTAATTTGTATCCAAAGCAGACAGTGGATGATGATGCAACTAGGTTCCTCATCTCATTGACTTCAAGTAAGAATCTAAAGGAGAAATATTTTGATCTCTAATATAAACTCTAGGAGCTCTGGTAGCATAGTGCCTAAGGCACTTGACTGCTAACCAGAAGGCTGGCGGTTCAAACCCACCAGCCACTCCTCGGAAGGAAGTTGGGCAATCTACTTCCGTAGTGATACTGTCTAGGAAACCCAAGGAGGGGTCGCTATGAGTTGGGTCTGACTTGATGGCACATAACAACAACAACAATATAAACTCTTAAATATGAAGATACTTTTGAAAGTAGTTCTTATAATATATGCATGCTATACCATTTAATCCTAGGATATCCTTTGAAAAAAAATAAATATTTTTTCTGTAGTCTTATCGATGAACTTTTCATTCTTTTTTCACAGCATGTTAAATTGCAATCTTAGATGTTAGATTTGAATATTTGATTTGAACTTCTAGTTATCTAGAAGTGAAATAACTTGATTATCAAGATAAATTTCTAAGATACTGCAGTCCTTTGTAGAATTGAAAATAGTAACCTATAACCATGGTATGTAGCATCAATGCAAAGAAGTCTCTACTTGTTAAATTACTGAATCCATTTAATTTTTTTTTCCACTTACATTTTGGGAGCCAAACGGTATGAAATAGGCATATTACAGAAAAAGTGCCGTGTCAAACACGGATGAAACAACTGCAGCTAACACTATCATGGGCCCACTATGTGCCAGGCATTGTACTTTGTGAAACATTTTACATGATTTTATCTCAGAGCAAAGTCACAAAGCTAGCAAGTGGTCTAGTTAGGTTTGAAGCAGGCTGACTCTTCACTCCTCCCTCTTAACTTCTATACAACCTCCTTGTAAGTTCCCCGTGGTTGTAACGGATGTTGAATATGCACCATATATTTGCATATGATGCACCCACGTAAATAACACATACACACCCATAACATGCATAGCATGCATAGAAAACTAACACGTGAAGGGGTTGTGTGGTTTGCAAAAACTGTATAACGCATGTGTTATTTGTGTAAAAATATGGCAAGACTTCTCTCAAGCCTTGGTCAGCTTTTTCTTAGTTTCTACAGTAGCTTCCTTATTGGACCTACTGCTTGTGTTTGACTCTGTAGGTCCTCCAGCCAGAGAGATCTGTAAAAGCCTCAGTCATACCCTCTTACCTTCTTGCACAAACATTACTTAAGTGATATGGTAGGCAAAGTAACGGCCCTCAGAGATATCAGGTCCATATCCCCGGAATCTGCAAATATTACTTTATTTGGAAAACAGGTCTTTGCAGATGTGATTGAGTTAAGAATCTTGGGGTGGTGAGATTACCCTGGAGCGTCTGGGTGGGCCCTAAATGCTCTCACAGGTGTCCTCGTAGAGGGAGGCAGGAGATTTGACACACACACACAGGAAAATGTGATGTGAAGATGGAGGCCGGGGTGGAGTGAGAGGATCACAACCCAAGAAATGCCAGCCGCCCCCAGAAGCTGGAAGAGACCAGGAATGACTCTCCCATCGAGCCTCCAGAGGGAATGCAGCTCTGCCTGCATCTTGATGGTCGGGCGATGCTGATTTCGGCCTTTTGGCTTCCAGAACTGTGGGAGAATAAATAAACATCTGTTGTTTTTAGCTGCCCGGTTTGTCATAATTTATTACAGTAGCCACAGGAAAGTAACACAAGTAGCTCCTCTTTCCAGATGGAATGAAACTCCTTACTGTGTCTGTAAATGAGCCTGTGTCTTTCGGAGCTCCCCACCCACCTCTTCCCTTTCTTCCATGAGGGCAGGATCTTTGTCTGTCTGGTTTATTACTGTGTCCTGAGAACCTGGAACAGTGCCTGGCAAGTAGTAGACACTAAAAATGATTTTAAAATAATGCTGATTGCAGCTGCTATTGGAGACAGTAATTGCCTTCCTGTGTACCTGGAAGACCAGTGGCACATTGGCCTTAGCAGTAATTGGCATTCTTGGATGAGAAGTGAAAATAGGATAATGTTGATTTGCGTGCCTCGGAAGACTTTGGAGGGGAGAGATACATAATAGGGAACAGATCAAGGAGGCATATTTACTATGAAATTTGATTATTTGAGGTCCATAGATGTGGTCTACCAATCCTGTGATTCTGAAAAGAATCACTTGTTTTATTTTACATGACTTTATGTTCATCAAGGAGCTCTGGTGGTGCCTAAGGCATTTGACTGTTAACCAGAAGGTTGGTAGTTAAAACCCACCAGCTGCTCCATGGGAGGAAGACAGGGCAGTCTCCTTCTGTAAAGATTTACTGCCTCAGAAACCCATTGGGCATTGCTGTGAGTCAGATTCAACTTGATGGCAGTGGGTTTGGTGTTTTGGGTTTTATTTTCATCTGTGTAAATAATGAATAACTAAGAGTTTCTGTCACTGTGATTATTAGAAGTTTTTTAAAAAATATATATATCTATAGAGTATAGGTCAGTTTAAAAAAATCTTATTTAAAAATTTTTATAGTAAAGCACTATTCTGTGAATAAAAAACTTCCCTTTTAAAGTCATATTTCAAGGAGCTCCACTAACATGGATAAATCATAACACGTGGAACACGTCCTGCCAGCCAGGCCTCCTGCCTGATGCTTTAGACGCATCCTTTCAAAAATCCTAACACCCCTACAAAACGTATTTATTCTCATTTCACAATGACAGATATTGTTGTTGTTGTCGTTAAGTGCCGTGAGCCGTTTCCGACTCATAGCGACCCCATGCACAGCAGAACGAAACACTGCCCTATCCCGCGCCAGCCCCACCATCCCTGCTATACTTGAGCTCATCATTGCAGCCACTGTATCAATCCATCACAAATACAGACTTAGGAAAGTCAAATGATTCACCAAAAAAAATATTCTGTGTTTGATCAGTGCTGGATTGAGGGGTGGGTTCTGTAGGCCCCTATCCAGGGCACCAGGCTTAATGGGGCCCCAGGTTCAATATATGTCAGAAAATTAACTTGACTAAAATATCATCAAAGCAAACTAAAC